TAGGGTTTAGGGTTTAGGGGCGAAGCTTTTCCTTGGCTTGCACCATTCAGGTTATAGGGTTTGGGGGTTTGGGGTCTAGGGTATACGGATTTTGGGTTTGGTGCCTAATGACTATAACGTGTAGGGTCGAACAGAGGGTCCTGATGAATTCGATCAAGGTTTTGGATTACATCATCGGTCACTTGTATAGGAGCTTGGAAGGGATGCTCCCACATGATTTTACTAGTTAGTTCAGATCTCTATAAATATATATTTTTACAGAATGTATCAGTACATTATAGGTGTTTGTTTGTCTCGCAGCGCATGCTTAAGGTGTTAGCGGTCTTTGGGGCTTTGCGGCTGTAGGATTTGGAGTCTGCGTCCCGGTAGTACACGGATTCCAGGCTTAGTCTTCACACTTCCAGTCAGACCGGATGCCCAGGAGGACAGGTAACTAGCAGCATACTTCCATCAAACCCCATTATAGTCAGTGAAAACAAGACGACACCCCAAGCCCTAAACCCTAGTCGCTAAGCCGCTAAAACCTCACACCTAAGTCTTCACGAGCACCAGGAGTCCTCGCTTAAACTTGGGCTCGAAATAGCCGGAAGGTCGGGTTAAGGTTTAGGGTCCAAAGCGCTTATGAAAGCCGGATCACGGTCCTGAAAATTACGTCTTTGAACGGTCGCGAATTTCTAAAGCCATTTACGAAACACCTGCTTATAACCTCTCCATATTCGAGTAAAATATAGTACGCAAAGATCAGAAGCCTGCAAGCAGCCAAAAACTCCCCTTAAAGTTACACACATATAACAATGTTTCTACAACTTCGTTGGGGAACATATAAACCCTCATCCCTATGAGCAACTTAGATTACAGTATTCATGTTGGAAGAAACAAGCATATAAGCCAAGATCAATACACATTCTTGCTAGACAACGCCTTAGTGAACCCCAGTTGCAACATGGGTCTAGGATGATTCGTGCCGGGATTCCCTAGACTTTGCCTCAAATTCGTGATGTTGATGTTCCAACTTTCTTAGCCACCCATAAACCCATAAACGCTCTCTGCGTGTTTGACCCGAGGCCTGTCTTGCATTGGAAAATCGCTACTATACATAAATCTGCTCTTGCCTTAAAGTACCTATATGGGAACCCTGATTCGACCAAAAACCTAAAACCCAAACCTGTAGCAACAAGGATGGCAGCAACAGCAGTGACAACAATAACAGTAGTGATAACAGCAACTATTCTCTAGTATTGGTTAGCACTTAATTGCAATAATAGTAAACATGTTAACATGCATGAACCATACTAAATTTCAGTAATTGCAATAATAGTAACATATTTATATGCATGAACCATACTAAATGTCAGTAATTGCAGTAATAGTATACATATTCATATGCATGAACCATACTAAGTTTCAGTAATATGACAAGTGAAGCATCCACCGGGTGGGGAGGTCCTCCAGCTCTGGAGATGCCCTGAAGCTTGCAAGCGGAGGCGGCGAGAGTCGGCAGGTGCTCCGCATTTTTTTTTTTTTTTTTTTTTT